GCAATCCGTAACACCACAAGGTCCCTCCAGGGCTCAAAACCCAGTCTTTGAATCGGACATCGTCAAGTAACCACGTTCCAGTTCCATCCTGGTGAGCGCGATAGATATCGGCATTCCGCGAGAAGAAATTGAGTGGTGACAGCCATTCAATAATTCTATCCCGGTCTGCCCCTGCCCAGATGTCAGTTGTATCCCACTACTTGAATGCGAATGACCGCACCGTCGGTAACCTGCCTCTGCTCGTCCGCAGCATCTTTGACTTTATTACGAATTTCTGAACAGAGTGGTTAATTTATGGATGAATCAAAAAATAAACTTTGGTAACATACCCTCGTGCCCATCGGTCACTGCCTTGAGCAGTTCTAGGTCACCCGCCGCTTCTGTGAGCGAGTTTAACAATAGTTTAAGTCACACTCACGATCGTGATTCTGTTGTTGCTGCTGGCCGACGTCCCTAATGAAGTAAATAAATTGTAGGCACTGCAGTGTAAGCGAGAGACTCACCAAATATCCATCATCAGCCAGGAATTGAGCAAAGCTTTGAACCGCTCCAACTTGCTGAGATCCTCTTCAGTCTCCTTCTTCTTCCAAAAAGTCCAAGCAAGTGCTTTGCTAAATTTCGAGTTCTTCGAGGATTGTAGGCGAGCATTTACGCCCTTCATCGTGTCTTCAAATTGCCCCAATGGTTTCACCAGCTGCTTCATTCCATTCACCGATGGATTGTCTTCTAAGCGAGTTTGAAAGTCCTTGAGCAATGGCTCGAGGTTTTCAAGCTCTACAGACAGATTCCGCTGCCGTTTGTGAGCGGTGGCCATGTCGACAGCCACATTAATGGTCGACTTGGTCGCGGAGATGAGCTGGAGTATGCTCGCCACTACGCTGAGGGGATCTGCCATGCTGGGTGAGAAAGAGGGAAAGAGCTGGACAGCTGTCGAGCGCCTTTATAGTGCCTCAAGCAGCTGTTAAGAACCGCACTGAACCCGATGTCTGGGATCTTTGAAGTCCAGAATAGAATATTAAGACAACAGTAGATCCGAAGTAAACTGGTGTGCCAAAGCCCGTAGAGAAGTACGAGAGACACTTGAGTAAGTCAGCTTCACAGTCAACACACAGCACAACTTGTTTGGCCACAATTCCTTTAGGCCAGACCTCAGAGAATGGAAATGGAAGCGCACGCTTCATGGCTGACAGGTTGAATCCACACACCGTGATAACTGATGCGGCATCTTGATACCGGTCTATGAAAGTCAAGCGATGCGAGGCAGGACTGCATTCTACGTCAAGGTTGAAAGAGGTAATGTTGAAGCTATAGGGATGGAGCTAGGGCAAGTCATAGCGTAAGGCGGGAGCACGGAGATAAGCCGAGTTGAAAATAAATCTCCCCGATTGTTCCGACAGATTTCGCCCTATTTGTTCCGATTCGGGTTCGACATTGAGCAGCGCAAAACTCGTCTTCTCAACAGATGCCCATCTGTAGGTGTGTCCAGTTCTGCTTAGGCAAGGGGATCCTGGTCTTTTGTGCACGTTCATGAATGTCATTGAATACATAAATAATTATGTAGCCATCAGCGTTCACACATCGGGTGAACTAACTCCAACTATAATCAGCAGAGAAGTTTATTCAGGTTGGCGCCGTCGCCAATTTTCCAGAAAATCCAGCTAGAATCAACCGCATAGAGACCCGAAAAATACAATGCAATGAACGACTGTTTTTTGTTTTGTACCAAGACGGGCTGCCGCAAATTCAAGCAACGGACGACTAACGTGCCATCAAGCCGAGAAGCACACCTTATTAAAATAATCGAACCAAGTGGCTTCCGCAGTAACACAAGCATCGACTCGTAATTATAATCATCCCGCATTACTCAATAATGAATATTGATGATTTTTAATTTAAACCACTGGCAGTTGCCAAACGAAGCTGAGAAATATCGGAGGCCCAGAGGTGTCTTGAGGCAGATCGAATAACTCGATAAATTTAACGTGTCAGGTTCCGGAACGATTAGAATAGTTCCAAGTTTACTTTTTACAAGCAAGTACTATATCCCGCTGGGAAGTGAGCCACTTAAGAGCAATCACTGAATAGCGGCATTCACACACCTTAAAAATGGGGTTTTGTGTCGCCGGAATCGAAGATAGGCCTGTTATAGACCTGTGAGGCATTTTTGGCCGATTTGTGGTGGGTTGGTGGGGGCCTCAGAAATTTATTTTCGGCGGCAGTTCAAAAGAGGCAAATATTAGGAAGTGGACCAGGCGGGCAAATCGTTTATTTCTCCATTGATAACTGCGACGAAACAACTTGGATACATGAAGGGGGAACCAATACACTGTCTAGCATATTCAAATGCTTAGTAGCATGAGTCGTATTGGTAGCAATATTTACTTCTCCACTGTGCATGCTGTCGAAAATCATGCTGATGGATGAATTGCGGCTAATACATCCCTGACGCACATTGGGGGGGTCAAATACGCATTGGGCAGTTTCATACGATATATATCAACGGTCCTGAAGCGGAATATTCACACCTATACGAAGATGGGATCCACAAAAAATCTACAGATTCCAATGTCAGATGATATCTGGTTTGCAACAATCACAGTGGCCCAGCACCAAATCAGCCGAAAGAAATATTGGTGATTGCTCACAGTCCATTAAATTGGTTTCCTCAATCTTTATGTGCCAGGGTAAACTTGTAGCTTTCAGGGTCTACCCACTGCAGAGCGGCCAATGTGAAGCACGCCAGTGTTCGCCCTTAAGGCCTTAATTTGAGTTTTGAAATCTCTTAAGCCTTATTAAGGCTTAAGGCTTAATTATAAGGGCATACTTAAGGCCTTAAATTCATTTTTTCTCCCCAGTGCTCTAGCTTCCGTTACATCTAAATTTTAGTTCGCTGGGAAGCATGGTTCACAAGATACAGTGAATATAAGTATTTTGTATCATACAAAGCGCTTGCCCTGATTAAAAAGCAAGAGATATATAATTTGACCCCCATTATTGTCACCCGTCGCAGTCTACTTACTCGTCGGAGAGCTTTTGGTTGATGCCAGCCTGGATTTGGCGAAGAGACCCTTACAAGCCACGGATTTAGTATAATATGTTATGATTGGCGGGGAGGGGGAAGGGCCGAGGATTGTACTCGCTTGCCCATCGAGATTTGAATAATGATGGTGGGAAGATTTTTTTTTCTAACACCGTATTAATATTTGATATGGATTGATCTCTGATCTCAGCCCCGGGCCGAAGTCTTAAGGCTTTAATTAAGGTCTGGAAAAATCCTGAGAATTGTTAAGCCTTAACTCACTTAAGGCCTTAAGCCGTAGGGCGAACACTGAAGCCATGTGCCACGCTGAACCTCTAAGCCTACTTTGGGGAGGGTAAAGCGACCTAAAATGAGTGGTGTGTCGCAACAGTGAACAATTCAAAAGAAATGACAGCCTGTGGAGAACATAATGAGCCCCAGAAACCCCGAATCGGTAAAGAACTCGCAGAGAACGAGACAATGGAAGTTGGCGCCGCTAAGCGGCGCGGTTCCCACGACAATATTTGGCTGTCGAACATGCCATAACTTGCGGGCCGAACGTCATCCCACCATCAAACTTGGTACAAATAAGGGTCTAAGGTTGTATTCCATACAAAGTAGGCCAGAAAATAACTTGCTGCTTTTATATTGCCCAATGGCCCACTACCTAGGGGTGGCCCAGTTCCCAGCAGGTTATAGTAATCACATTGTTCAGGAGCCGAACAAGCGTTAGGAATGAAATATGAGAAAGAGGCGAATCCATATGCCACTAACGCTTTTCCTGTGACCGATTAGTCTACCAGTGTATTGTTTTGACAATGAATAACTCGGACCGTTGGCTGAGATGTTCTGCATGAATCCGCTTTGTCTTTTTTCTTGCTGCGCGTCAATGGTGCGAGAGTTCTTAGGTCCGCTTTGGGATATTATTTTGTATTTCTTGCGGCTCTTTTCATGGTTGAATTTTTCAACAGCGGTCTTTTCTTTTATAAGTCAACTCAGCCGGGTGATATGACCTCGGGTCAACATGTGGCGCATATATCGACTGTAAAGGAAATGCTAGGAAGCCTGCATGGACCATGGTGGTCGCCTCACGTCAGTAAAGTAATGCCCTTGCCCCTTTGTGGAAGTGAGGAGCCGGGGCTCGACTCCCACCGGAGGCATATCGGTGAGCATCCGTTTTTTTTACTTACCGCAAAGACAGACGTCAAGAGGTGCGAGAGTTCTCAGGGTTTCCAGGATCAGGATGATTATGTTATATTTATTGCGGACAAACATGTAGACACATTCGGTGAGTTTTCCTCTCATGTGGTTGAATTTTCCAACGTATGGAGCCACTCAGCTCGGATGGTATAAACTCAACATGAAATGTGGTGCACCTGTAGATGGTACAAGGAGAGGAATGAAGCCTTCGTGGATCGTTGGAGATCACCTCACGTTTATACAACAACAAACCAGTGCAATGAGGAGCTGGGGGTTCGACTCCCCCCAAAGGCATGCTGCAGCGCGCAACGTTTTTCTTTTACTGCAGGAAAAGAAAGTCAAGACACGCGAGAGTTCTCGGGGCTTTGAAGAACGCACTTTTAGATATATTGCAGGCAAGCACATATGTATGTGCGCTATTGAGTTTGCATGGGGTTGAATTTTTCCGAAAGCTGAACAAAAGTGATGCACTTATAGACGGTACAAGGAGAGATATTAAGCCTTCATGGACCATGGTGGTCGCCTCAACCAATTAATGTTCCGATGAGATCGGTAATGAGGAGCCGGGGGTTCGATTCCCCGCCGAGGCATGGACCGACTGCTTGATTCCTTTTTTTACCTGCTCAGGAATTTTTATTTTCTAATATTGTAGTTGAGGTGTGTGGTCCAATTTCTGGATCGAATCACGGTGGTGGAATTCACCAATTTTCTTGTGGTTGAATAAATTGCAGATCTAACAGGAAAGTGACGCATCTATCAACCGCACAAGGAGGAGTATTAAGCCTTCGTAGACCATGGTGGTCGCCTCGCACTTGTCACCCATTTCCAATTTTCAAGTGTAGTGAGGAGCCGGGGGTTCGACTCCCCCCGAAGGCATTCGAAACACGCACCGTATCGTTTTTTTATTGCTGCGTCCGGTCACAAGTTTGGTAATGGCATGTAGTTGTCGCGTTTTCGAAGGGTACTGCGGTGAATTTAGGCAGGTTGAATGAATTTTCAAATCAGATCGATGTGGTTGAGTTTTACCTGATTTCTCGTGATTGAATTCTGGATTCGACAGGAATTGGATGCATTTATTAACCACACAAGGAAGCCTTCGTGGACCATAGTGGTCACCTCACACTTGTTGCGAATGACGACTAAGTGTAATGAGGAGCCGGGGGTTCGACTCCCCCCGAAGGCATGAGTCCGCTTGGTCTTTTTTTTTCTTTCTGCGCGTCAAAAGGTGCGAGAATTCTTAGGGCTTTGCGATATTATTTTGTACTAGAGTTACCCGTGAATAAATTCACGGGGAAACAGTTAATTTTACCGGCTAGTGTAACTGTATTTTGGTATCCTCCCCGATTATCCCAGATGCGAACTGCTCAGTGTGAATTTTGTTTGTGCAACGGCTTGTCTCAACCAAATGTGCAACAGTCTCGACCCGCTGTTTGAGCTGTCTCGCTCCAACTGTTTACTCAACCTGACATTTTGGGGGCAGAGTATCCACCCCTTTCGTCAATCGTCTGTAGTGTGGTTCTGTAACAGCTCATGCTGCCATTTGTGAAATTTCTCCTTGAGTCATTGCTTACTCATTCAGCTGTTATGTTGTGTAACAGCTTGTCCCCTTGGAGAACTGCTCCGTCGACTCTCTACTTGAGCAACGGCATGTCCCAGCTACTGACTGGCACAGTGGGAACTTCTACTCAAACAATTTCTCATCCCCAGTTGCACAACTTACAATCTTTCCAGTCTCGCAACGGGCTCAAGTCCCACTGAACTGCCAGATCTTTCTGCTCGTCCCAGTTGGGAAACGGTCTGAGGCCGATTTTGAGTTGCATAGCAGCTTGTTTGGCTGCCAACTGCCGTGCCCGAAGTTCTTCTTGAGTTGCTGCTTATTTATATCCCAGCCCAGCTGTCAGTTGTGTGACGGCTTGTCCTAGCAGCCACCTGTCTCAGTAGGAATTTCACATCCAGCAACTGCTCATCCGACTTTGCACAACCTCTCGTCTTTCCTTTCTTGCAACACTTTGTCCATGGCCAGTTCCTGACTGAAGTTCGAGATTTTTTTTTTGGGATTCACCTTGACTGTGCATGTTTAGTATCACCAGTGCCATTTTTCCTGCATGACTCTTTGTTCTTTTAACGCACACTTAATTCAGCAATGGAATAAAATGCCCTTGTTTGTCTTATTTTTCAGAACTGTAAAGTGTAATTTGTTGTGTTTGCACTCCACCTCTGGCGGAATTTAGAGAAATTCTGGCTGATCTACCTTCTAATCTTTCGCGTCTCCCGGACCTCTCCCAGCGGCCCCTTCACCCAATTCACTCGTAGATTTTTGATGGTATCAGTCTCCGAATAAGCTCCAGTTCAGATTCTCCCGTCCCGGATCTCCCTATTTTTGATCAATATTCCTGTCGCAGAAAGACAATTCATCATCCACGTTCAACGATTACATCGGCAGCAGAATCAACATGGATATTCATCCTTTCTTACTTGGGTCTCACATCTCCTCAGTCCTGCACACTTTGATGCCCACCTATTGATCTGCACCTTGATCAGATTCGCAGATAGCAGCTCGTGGCCCCGCACATAAAGTGCGGCACTGACACCGAGTTAGGGGCTCATCCGGTGACGTCAGACCACCTTCCGGCGCTGTCCGTGATGGGATCGTGCGAAAATGATTGACGTTTGTCTGGCACCCTGATATTATATAGTAGATTTATTGCGGAGGTTGAATTTTTCAACAGCGGTCTTTTCTTTTATAAGTCAACTCAGCCGGGTGATATGAACTCGGGTCAACATGTAGCGCATATATCGACTGCGAAGGCAATGCTAGAAAACCTTCATGGACCATGGTGGTCGCCTCACGTTAGTAAGGTAATGCTCTTGCCCCTTTTGTGGAAGTGATGAGCCGGGGTTCGACTCCCCCGGAAGCATATCGGCGGGCATCATTTTTTTTACCTACCATAAGACGGACGTCAAGAGGTGCGAGAATTCTCAGGGTTTCCGGGATCAGGATGATTATGTTGTATTTATTGTAGGCGCATTCACTGCGTTCAGCGGTCCCTTAGAACTGGATCGTGTCTAGGTGCCTAGACGGCCAATTGTGTCTAGCCAACTAGACACAATGTTTCTAGGTGGCTAGGCAGTTGTAGCCACCTCCTCAGCCACCTCTCGACTCGCCCTCGACAAGCGGACATAGACCTCAGATGATCTCGGCTGATGCCGGATCTAGGCGGCCTCGACTTGACAGGTCTAGGTAAATAGACGTACATAAACGTCATCTAGACCGATCTAGACCCGTCTCACAGGTTCTACACTTTTACGAGTTTAGGGACCCGCTGAACGCAGTGATTCAGTGAGTTTTCCTCTCATGTGGTTGAATTTCCAATGGCTGTCCCTGCGGCAACTCAGCTCGGATGGTATAAACTCAACATGAAATGTGGTGCCCCTATAGGCGGTACAAGGAAAGGAATGAAGCCTTCGTGGATCGTTGGAGATCACCTCACATTTATGTGATACCATATCAGCGTAATGAGGAGCTGGGGTTCGACTCCCCCCGAAGGCATGGCTCCCAAGTGCACAACATTTTTCTTTTAATGCAGGAAAAGAAAGTCAAGACATGCGAGAGTTCTCGGGGCTTTGAAGAATGCACTTTTAGATTTATTGCGGGCAAGCACATATGTATGTGCGTTGTTGAGTTCTAATGGGGTTGAATTTTCCGTAAGCTGTGTCTCAGCTGACTTGAACAGTAAAAAGTGATGCCAGTACAAGGAGGGATATTAAGCCTTCGTGGACCATGGTGGTCGCCTCACCTTTATACGGTGTTCGTCGTATGCACAGCAATGAGGAACCGGGGGTTCGACTCCCCCCGAAGGCATACGGAAGTCATGTTTTTTTACTTGCCGGCAGACGGAAGTTCAGAGGTGCGAGAGTTCCCAGGGTTTCCGGGATCAGGATGAACATGTTGTATTTATTGAGGACAAGCATGTAAGGGCATTCGGTGAGTTTTCCTCATGTCGTTGCATTTTCCAACGGCTGTCCCTGCTATGGGGTAACTCAGCTTGATCGATGGTGTAAATTAAACTCAACATGAAATCACTGCGTTCCGAGGCGGACAAATGCTGACGTGTGCTGACCTATTAGGTCGGCACACGACATAAGTAGCCTCGGAACACAGTGAATGTGGTGCACCTATAGACGGGACAAGGAGAGGAATGCAGCCTTCGTGGATCGTTGGAGATCACCTCACGCTTATAATGCTGCCAACCCAGTGTAATGAGGAGCTGGGAGTTCGACTCCCCCTGAAGGCATAAGGGAGACTGAGATTTTTTTTTTCTGCAACAGGAATTCAAGTGGGCGAGGTCTCTAGACGTTTTACAGCTCTTTGCAGAACACAAGGCGCGGCCATTTTTTTTTCCTTTTTGGGCCGTTTTTTGTATATCGCTTGTTCTGGCCTCGATTCTTATCCGTTCAGCTGATGCAGGGGTACGTTGTAATCGCACGCGAATTCTGCAGCGGATAGGCTCTTACGATTTCTTTCTAGCTGCTTTGGACAACTTGCTACAAAAATTTTACATATTTCATATATATCACCTGTAACATTGAATCTTGACCATATCAGGCCTTCATATTTTTACACAATGAACTTGTTTGTATTACCTAGGGGATGTGATGTTTATATAGGTGTGGAAGAGCTATGCACGAGTACAAGAGATGACCGTGCCAGAGACATGTCAATCACTCACACATGCAGTCACACTTTAGTAATCTGATCCTTATAAACTGTGGGTCCCCTGGAGAATATGAACAAGTCCATTGTGTAAAAATATGAAGACCTGATATAGCCAGGATTCAATGCTACAAGTGATATATATGAAATATGTAAAAATTTTGTAGCAAGTTGTCCAACGCCGCTAGAAAGAAATCGTAAGAGCCTATCCGCTGCAGAATTCGCGTGCGATTACAACGTACCCCTGCATCAGCTGAACGGATAAGAATCGAGGCCAGAACAAGCGATATACAAAAAACGGCCCAAAAAGGAAAAAAAATGGCCGCGCCTTGTGTTCCGCAAAGAGCTGTAAGAGACCAATCTTTTACTTGTTGCAGGCACGCATTATTGAGTTTTCATGTGGTTGAAATATCCAACGGCCGTCCTTGCTATGGGGCAACTCAGCTGTATGAGCTCAACAGGAAGCAAAAGTAGCGCATATATTAATTGCACCTTGAAGGGTAGAAAGCCTTTGTGGACCATGGTGGTCGACTCAACCAAGTCATTTTTCATTGAGAGTGATAATAAGGAGCCCGGGGTTCGATTCCACACGCAAGCATGGCACTAGCAGATGGTTGATTGCTTTTTTTACCTGCTCAGAAAATTTTATTCTGCATTATTGTAGGCGAGGTGTATTACGTAAGGTCATTGAACTCACCAAATTCACTGCGGTTGAATAAATTCCTCACTCAACAAGAAAATGACGCATCTATAGACAGCACAAGGAGAGGAATAAAGCCTTCGTGAACCAATGCTTGACCGTGGATTGTAAGCGCGAAATGATTTGTATTTATCAACTGCAAAAGAACCGTTGGAAAGCCCTCGTGGACATGGTGGCCACCTCACACTTGTCGCTTTGAAGCACTCGAGGTCATGAGGAGCTCGGAGTTCGACTTCCCGCGGAGGGATGGGATCTCGCTGAGCATCTTTTTTGTTCCCGCTACAGGCTTCTCATAGATTGATATCGTGTATTATAGGCGAGGTGTGTGGTCCAATAGATCGTCTGGTGGAATTCACCAATTTTATTGTGGTTGAATGAACTTGACATGAAAAGGGACGCACCTATGCGCCGCAAGAGAGGAGGAATGAAGCCTTCGTGGATCGTTGGAGATCACCTCACGTTTATAATGATGTACGCTTAGTGTAATGAGGAGCGGGGGTTCGACTCCCCCCGAAGGCATGGTTCCGCAGTGCGGAACATTTTTTTTTTACTGCAGGAAAAGAAATTCAAGACATGCGAGAGTTCTTGGGGCTTTGAAGAATGCACTTTTAGATTTATTGCGGACAAGTATGTATGTGCGTTATTGAGTTTTCATGGGGCGCCGAGAGCTGTACAATTCAGCTGACTTGAACGGTAAAAAGTGATGCACTTATAGACGGTACAAGGAGGGATATTCAGCCTTCGTGGACCATGATGGCCGCCTCAACGAATTAATGTTCCGATGTGAGTGGTAATGAGGAGCCGGGGGTTCGATTCCCCGCCGAGGCATGTGTGACAAGCAGCGGTTGATTTTTTTTTTTACCTGCTCAGGAATTTTTATTTTCTAATATTGTAGTCAAGGTGTGTGGTCCAATTTCTGGATCGAATCACGGTGGTGGAATTCACCGGTACCAATTTTCTTGTGGCTGAATAAATTGCAGATTTGACAGGAAAGTGACGCATCTATCAACCGCACAAGGGGGAGTATTAAGCCTTCGTGGACCATGGTGGTCGCCTCGCACTTGTGCCCAAGAAATCTTCAACTTCAAGTGTAATGAGGAGCCGGGGTGTTCGACTCCCCCCGAAGGCATTTCAAAACATTGTCATATCGTTTTTTTATTATTGCTGCGTCCGGTCACAAGTTTGGTAATGGCATGTAGTTCTCGCATTTTTCGAAGGGTACCACGGTGAAGGAGGGTATGTGGTTGAATCAATTTCAAATCAGATCCATGTGGTTGGGTTTTACCAGATTTCTCGTGATTGAATTCTGGATTCAACAGGAATTGTGATGCATTTATTAACCGCACACAAGGAAAGGTAGGAAGCCTTCGTGGACCATGGTGGTCCCCTCAACTAATTGAGAGGTCCGTTTTGAACAGTAATGAGGAGCCGGGGGTTCGACTCTCCCCGAAGGCATGAGCGTCTCGCTGGGGATTTTTTTGTCCTCGCTACTCAAGGATTCCAGGAGTATTCATTTTGTCAATGTGGTTGGCTGACCTATTCTATTTGCCCATGTGCATGAATTGTTCCAAAAGTAATAAAATTCACATCTGCCAAATACCTTTTTTATTTTTTTGGTTGTCTCTCCAAATGGATGAACTCGACTCACAATGTGACGCATATATCAAGCGCACAAGGGAAGTTAGAAAGCCTTCGTGGATCGTCGGAGATCGCCTCAACTAAATAGCTTTAGTGCTTTCTTGTACCGGGGGGGTTCGATTCCCCTCGAAGGCATTCCCGGTCCGAGGAGTATTTTTTCTCTGTTCGAGGTGTTCAATTGGCTGAAATTTTCCATGGATAATGACTGTGACTGTCAGCTACCAAAATACCCTTCTGAACAGAAAAATTTAAGGGGCAGAGTGGCGCGCCGCCCCAGACCGGCTGCCCGGGCTTTCAATTATGCGGGGTTCGATTGATTAGATCTTTGATGACCCGCCGTTTGTTCCCACCACCACTCCTGATCTCGCTTTCTCGTTTTTTGGTTTCCTGGTTTTCCTCTGCCGTTGTTCCTCTATAGATCTGGGGGATACACAACGTTATTGCGGCGCTATGATAGGGTGGCCTTTCACATTACGGGAGTCTCTATAGCAAGGTTGCTTGACACTGCGTAATGCGAGATTCGATTGATCACTCGGCATTCCAGTGGTCAGCAGACTTGGACTGGGGGCTAAGTATATAAAGGGCGCCGCCGCCGCTCTTCAGTTTCCTTACTACTCCAACTAGCTTGGATCGACATCTAGTACTACTTCAATTTGACAAAATGGCACCCCCGACGTTCACACACGAGTTCAAGTCCGCGAGCTACACGGGCAAGACGAGCTTTGGGACTGGCGTGTACATCGATGGCGAGTTCCGCGAGGGCTCGGGAAAGGCTACTATTGAGTGCGTTGGCTCCTCTCATTATGCTGCGTGTATACTGAATAGTTAACTTACAATCAGCGTAATCAACCCGACCAATGGCAAGCTGATCACAAAGATCGCCGAGGCGACGGCCGCGGACGTCGACACCGCCGTCAAGGCCGCGCAGAAGGCGATCGACACGACGTGGGGTCTCAACGTCGGCGGCGCGGAGCGCGCGGCGCTGCTCAATAAGCTTGCGCTGCTCATGGATGCGCATGCGGAAGAGCTGAGTGCGATTGAGGCTCTGGATAACGGTGCGGTGCCTTTGTATTATTCTCTCCATGCTAAATGCTTACCACCCCCCCCCCATTGACAGGAAAAACATACACCTGGGCGCGCAACGTCGACGTCGCCTTTGCCACCCAGACGATCAAGTACTACGCTGGCTGGGCGGACAAGGTCCACGGCCAGACAATCGAGACGGACGAGAAGAAGCTCGTGTATACGCGCCATGAGCCGATCGGCGTCGTTGGGCAGATTATTCCTTGTAAGTCGTTTTTTTTTTTTTGGTCTTGGTGTTTTGGGGATTGGGCTAGCATAATGCTCGATGGGATGCGATGAGCTTCGTTCATCGCTGGCTCGTGGTCAGCAAGCCTCTGGCCTGTAGGCGTGCGACGAGTTCCGCTCATCGCCCGGGCTCGCCTTTGGTTCGCCATCTCTGAGTCTCAGCCGCCCCCACTCCCTCCCCCATCCTGTTCACCGCACTCACCCCGCCCACACAGGGAACTTCCCCCTCCTCATGTTCGCGTGGAAGATCGGCCCCGCGCTCGCGACGGGTAACGCGGTCGTCATCAAGGTGTGTTTCGTGTTTTGTGGTTTCGTTATTGCGGCTCCTTTGCGCCGGAGGAGCGACTAGCTCTATTCGGGAGCTCTGTGAGGGCGGGAGACCGGCTCTACACGGGCGGGGATACCTACCGGCTCTATGCGGGCGGGGAGGCCGGCTCTGCGCGCATGCTGGCCCAGCGTGTGGTGTCCCAACGTTATTGCGGCTTCTTTGCCCCGGAGGGGA